TATATATATATATATACGTATATAGAGTAAACATCCGTATACTTAATATCGTTCTACGTGAACGTTAAATTATCTTATAACGTTCTATAATTTTTTGAATGCTAATAATTTCAGTTTTTTTTTTATTTTTATACTCGTTATATATTGATTCCAGCTTCGAAACTTTTACGGATGACAGTTTGTTGTATATCCGCGGATATACGATCGAAATTCTACATTCCTAAAATTTGTTGGAAACTAAAGCTCAACTTTGAACGACATCTTCCACCAAACAGTCATCTCTATTTTATGTAGCAAAGCAAAGCTATATTGGGAATGCAATTTCGACCTATCGAACATGTTTTCAATGCGATGATATTTTCGGAACGATGATATTTTTCACGCATGTTTAGTTTAAAAGAGATAAACGTTGTAAAATAAAAATTACGAATCGATTAAATTTGAATTAATATATTGTGACGTAGAATTTTGACATAGGATTTTATCACGATTTATTCCATTTTTTATTATTATTTCGAAAAATAATTTAATAACCGATAACGTTTAATTCATTAAATAAATGAATTTAATACTCGTTTCACTTTCTCTTTTTAATCGTATACCGAACTCTTTTTGGTATTTTATTAATCCTTTGTTCGAGCAACCATTCACTGCAATTCCTTTTAAAGCGGAAATACAATTGTATAAATTTATAAATCGGAAAAGAATTCGTAGAAATTTAATACGATATACATTTACTAATTTCATAATAATAATTGACAAAAATAATAACCGATATTTAAATCGAATGACAAAAAATATAGGAAAATATTAAATATTAAAAATATTTCATAAATTTTCATTGATTCTATTGATTTTAATTTTTTGCTCCAATATTTGCTTATGCAAATATATTTGGAGATCTCTTTTTCCACGCGTGTTCAACACATATATTTACATATGTGTTTATCAATATATTGTAATTATAAACCATAATCTCTAATATGTATAGTTTTTAAGTAAATATAAATTATTTTTATATCATTAATATTAGAAAAAAAAATTGGTAAAATAATGCCATTCATATTTTGAAAAAGTTAAATAAGATCCTAAAAGTGATTAACGCGTCAATCATTTGAAAAACTTTTTTGATGTATCTTAGATACGAAAATTGGAAATCTGATTAAACTTGGAACTAAATCGTAAAGTCGATACTAGCAAGAAACCTTTTTATTTTCTTTACCATTTTTGTAGCACGGTTTTTCTTAGAAACTTATGAAAGTTAAAAATATAAAATCTCGTGAAATAATTCTACTCTGATGTGTAATTTTACACCAGTAAATCTTCAATATTCTAATTTCTATATTATTTATAAAATTTCGTTCCTTATCCATTAAAATGCAAAATTGTCTTTATGTTTCGCAAAAGTATCGCAATTACATTCTTTCTGCGATATTTATCAAATATGCAAGCATTCTTATTCAATTATAATTCTCACTTTATATTTCAAAATTAAATTTTTGAATGAGAATGGAATGGAATCCAAATTAATTTTATATTACAACGATCAAATAATACGTACCTTGAAAATACGGTATTAGTTTGCACATCGTTATACCAAAAACAAAATTCTTCAGAACTTGTCCAAGAAGTGTAAAAGGCATGCAAAAGACGCCGAGCAGCAGATCCGAAACCGCCTGGAAATTAACGAAATATTTTATATATAAAATAACTAAACTTTCATGGAAATTTAATTCGAATGAAGTAGAAAATAAATTGTAACACAATTGAGCAATGTTATAAAGTTATGCGCATTTATCTCTACCTTAATTCTCATTTAAAGCTTTCTCATCAAAATAAATACAAACAGAATTGAATAAAACAATCGTGGCCAGACAAGTGGATTAATGCCACCGTGATCAGACGAAGTGGAATAAGACGATTATATCAAATACAGACACAAAGTAGAAGAGATGCGTCATAATTGAACAAGTAGAGCAAACTGATCATGATCAAACGAGTAGTACAAGTCAATCATTTCTGCACAGAGATATAAGAGAATTACGAGAAGAATGACTATTCAAAATTGATTAAATGAATAATATTTTTACGAATTTAATTTATCCGTGATATCGTGACGATACCTCTCTATTCGCATCTACTTCAATAAAATTAAACTTCGACTGAAAAATTGGCACTGTAGAATGCAATCACCGTTCCTCACGCAATCTCGCTGCAAAATTTATAGAACATCGACCTCCTACGCATTAAGAAAAATGTGAGCAAACAGTGAAACGAAATTAGAATACCGATAGATGTTTGTTATTCCAGTGAAGCACGACAAGAAATTCAATCAACTATATAGAGACTCTGCCTAGCTCTCCAATCTCACGTGTATCATTAATGAAGTGAAGTTTTGCTCCGAATTTGTTCCAGATATCGTGTTTTAACGATCATCGATAAATTCAACATCACTCAATACGTATGATACCATTTGGATTAATTAATCGAATATCGGCGAGATTTCATTATTTTGTCGTCTTACAGCTCTTCGTCAAATATATATTGTATAATTTAATTTTATTGAACAACAGAATGTTCTATATTCTCGTGTTTATTACCATTTTATCTGAATTGTCTCGAGAATTAAAAATTTATATTTGTGAAAAAATGATTTTCAATTAAAATAATGTATATATGTATTTGTATATTTGAATTTTGATTGAATAAAAGAAATAGATAAAAAGTAATTTTTAATTTGTGGAAAAGCCATGTAGAAAGCTATATATCAGAATTAATTTTTGTTTTTAACTACAACAAAGGGAAATTATTAAAGCATTTCATTATATTTCTCGCTTTATAAGTTTCCTTCAAAATTTTTAATTATTTCTCCATTATATATGTATATATATATATATTGCAATAATTTTAAAATTCGTACAATTTTGATGCTAATTTAATATTACATAGCTCGATTTAATATTATATGACAATTGTATATTGTACATTATAGAAATAGTTAATTTATAATTGCGTGATTCGGAGATAATTAATATCGATTAATTAATTATATAATAATTAAACTGGAAAAATAATTCTTCAATTCTTAAAATTAAACTAAAATAAACTTAAGTTACTGCGGAAAATAACAAGTTTTAAAAATATCAAAAATAATCAATAAATCACGTATAGTGTTTGTGCAAATCCGTAGGGTAAATTCGAATTCGTGTCGCAAATCTCAATTCACACAAAATAATCCTGTAATTTATTGAATTGCATCGAATCGTTAAATACAGAATATATATTACATCGTTCAAATTTGAATTTACGACTTTATACTATACACCGTATTTACATTTTTTTCCGATTTATCAGTGATTTATCACATTTTGGCATATAAAACTTTCTTGTTTTATTTTATTTTTTTTATTTTTTAGTATTTTTCAAATATTTCAAAAATAGAAATTCTCAAATTCTATAATAAACTACGTGAATTACTAAGAAAGATTTTCTTCGAACATTATATTTATGTTTAATTAAGAAAATTAAAAATATAAGGCAAAGAATTAGTAAATAGTCGAAAAAAATGAAATAAAATTATAATAATAAATATAAAAATATACATACATATCAAAGGTGAATCTAATTTTAATGTAAATTCACCAAGGATTAACTCCCGACTTAATTATACTGGATTTTCATTTTCGTTCTTATTCTATAATTTTGCTTCATGTGTTTTTTCGCGAAATAAAAATAAACACGATTCCTTTAATTTTTCTCAAAAAATGAAAAATTATCGATTTTATCTCTTAATATTAAGATACAAATGGACTATTAGTTTTTCTCTAACGATGACATTGATCTTACGACAAATGTGTTCAATTTCTCAAATTTGCAAATCATTCCACCCTAAGGTATTTAAATTATTGAAAATTAGAGAAATATATCAAGTACTTACAATATATTCAAAAACTAGACGACCAAGAAATTATTAAAAAATTAAACATTATACTGAGATCTATCTATTAGATTTAGATATTAGTATGACTGTTTCTACATTTTTTTTCTTTTTACACTTAGCATAGTACACGTTCAGAATCGAAAAGCAATTACAGAGAAATAGCTCTCTGTATAAAGGAAAAATAGATAGTAGGTTTCGATTCCGTTCGTTATGCGTGGAGAATAATCCGTGGTACGTAGATTAAAACTCTTTGACGGCATTGATCGAAAATCGATTTCGTCGTAGGAAACAATAAAGGTTTTGTTGAGAAGTAGCGTGCATTCGAAGGAAAAACGAATATTTCGTGCAAGAATGGGATTGAAGTAGAAAAATGATCAAATTTTCTGCTTTGCATCAATCCCTCGGTTCCCTCGGTGAAAATATCGAAAATGTAAAATGATCCACGCACAATTCTGATAATTTCTTCATTTTAATAAATTGGACAAAATTTTGGGAAATTTTAATAATTGATAAAAGTTGAATAAAATTTGAATAAAACATTTCAGTTGGAAATTACTGACCTAGATCATCGAATTAATTAATCCATCTCTAATTGACGGTATACGAAGGGAAAAGATAAAATTTTGGATTCATTAGTTTTTACTTTTATAACCCTTGTTATCTTCTATTTAGTAAGGGATTCCACTTTCATCTCTTTAATATTTTTTCCTGCAATTTTCAATTAGTTAAAATAATCAGTGAATGGTAAAATGGTATTATTTTATGTTAATTTTAAGTTATCCTATCAGGATAGAGATCTGTTGTATCTGTCATATCTAGTTGAAGCTTGAGAATATCGAAAGAGGAAACGATCGAATGCATTTCAAGATCGTACACGTGATAAATAAATATAATGCCTATAATGGATAGGAACATCTTTTTTCTTTTTTCTATTCATAGATATTTTTTCTAATTCAAAAAGTTTATGATATTTGTATTATTACATGTAATGCAGTAGCATATTTTTTTCTTATTTTAAATAAAGTTCGACCGAGATAGCCTACGAAATTATCTATTTTCAAAGGAATTTTTGTTTTCAGAATAAATGTCGCTAAAAATTCACCACGCTATTGTGCGCCTCGCGTTAAAGCGTGAACCGTGTTCGTTACCAATAGATATTGCCGGAAGCTTTATCAAGTTTAACCGTTCTGAAACACATCCATCATTCATATCTTAAAGTATAACAGGCCAAATGAATGGAAAAAAACTTACTATAATATCCTATACCTCAAAAAAAGTCTCATTACTTTACTTTGCTCGATATTCAAATTAACAAATACGAAAAATAAAATTTTTAAATCGAGAAAAATTCTTCATCTATCGGCCAATTATTCAATTTTCACGGGCTATTTAAATCGAAAAAAAACCGAAACGAAATTTAATAAAAAAAAATTACAATTCGTTCGAACAATCCTCGCTCTAAAATATTCTCCAAATTCATAAATTAACCATTAATCACTTGCAATCCATCTTTCAAAACATGGCGTAAAATTTTATTTACAAAATTAAACCAATAAAAATAATCGAATAACAATCCCCCTCGTTAAATCGATCATTTATCCAGATGGAAATTGGAGTGAAACAAAAAAAATAAATAAATAAATAAATCAATCAGTGAAATGGATATTAGAGAAAAATGAATGTGAAAATTCTTTTTTTACCAGATTTAACAAGTAAACGTTGGTCACGGTCCTCATCCTCTTGTTACGTGCCAGGGTGATCAGCACCAACGAATTCCCAACGATGGAAAGGAGAAATATTATTCCGTATAGAGGGATTATCAAACTCTCGAGCAGATTCGTTTGGCCGTAATGCGTGGCCGCCACTGTTGGCAACGTTGTCACGTTCAAAACGGGGGACGTAGTTGTTGGCTGGGGCAGATTGGTGGCGAACGATTGATCCAAGTCGGAATTACCAAAATAATTGGCCATCGTGCCGGTATCGGTTTCGTTGTAATTCGTAGCCGACATCATCATCTTATTCAAAACGATCGTTCACAATTCAACCCCATTTAAAAGGATTTACGACATTGTGCAACGCGATAATTTGATCGATGTTCCCTGTTCCATTCATGGATGGTCGGCTCCGTGCAATCGATGTTAAACGATTGGAAACTTAAGAATCGTGCCGATATCTATTCGATGGAATCGATTCTCTTCATCTTGTAAATTTGATTTTCATATTCCGCAAACGATTCTGAAAAAATAAAGAGAGATTTATCTGTTAGTAAAATTTTCGTGTATTTGAATATATATGTATTATATTTTTTATTCGAATCAATTTTTAATTTAAAATTTATTTGTTGCATCTTTCCATTGGATTGTTAAGGAGTTTATGAAGAAATGGAAATTTTTAGCACGTAATTTATAGGATTTAAATAAAAATTCTTTAGGATGGGAAAAGATTTTGTTTCCTATTTGTGTAATAAATTGTGTGTACATATTTTGCTTCTTTAAGATGAGAAAGAAAAAAGCAAATATCTTTTTAATAAGAAAAAATCTCTCTTCTTCCAATGTATAAATAAATAACCATTCTTAGTGTTTTTCAAAATATTATAAAATTTAGAATTGTTGTTTCAAAATATTCCTGGTAACTTTTTTTCAAATTTATAGCTGCGATTACATTGTATCTCGCTGATTTAATCATTTTGAAATGACAGTTGGAAAATAATATTCAAAAAGAAAAATCGTGGCTTTAGTTCCTCGCGCTTCGAGAAATTTTACGATCCCAAGAATTTTTAATATTCTCTTAAAACGCCACTTTTATGGCATAAACTGCATCAAAATGACATAGATTGTGCTGACGATCAAATTGAATAGATTAAATAGCACACGGTGTATCGAATAATTTAACGGATATGACAGTTGTAAAGCACCTGGGGCTTCTCTGACCCCTGTTGCAGATGTTACCCTCAAGTACATCATGATATGGTTCTGCATACGTAAAGAATTTCGAAGAAAATCATTAACCACCGCCATCTTTATATTTAAGAAGAATTTTTAAAGAAACTTCTTTAAAGTTAAAGTCATCGTCTTAATACATCTAATTTAATATTTAAAATGAGCATCAAATGTCTCCAAAGTTAAATTAGAATATACATATAATTATTTCAAGAAGTATATACATATATTTATATAATTCTTAATAGAATTTTCTTAATAGAATACGAATTGAGTGTAATAGAACAATAGTACTTAAGAAGGCTTGTTAAGAAACTATATTGAAAAGCTTATACTAAACTTTCGATCCCTCATTTATCATTTGAACTAAACTATTATTAAACGAAATATCGCAGACGGTAAAGAAGATTGGTTAAATCTTATTACATGGTTTCGAGTGAGAAGATCTCACAATGGGGAATCGTGTATATCGTTAGGAATATAAACTTGCTGAATCGTGGTAACGTAACCCATTACGAGATCACGACGACTCGTCGGCATTCGTCTTCGTCAGCCTTTATTATCAGCCAAGTTTGTTCCAAGTTCAGATATAAAATTGGAAATTTTCTACCTGAAAAGAAATCTCGTGGAAAGTTATATATGCATAAATTTCAATCCGATGTTCGAATATTATTCTTTAATCTCGAAAGAAAGAAAAAAGAACAGACAATTTTTATTAATTAAAAAAATCATGCACGAGATTCGTCGAAAGGAAATATAAGTTTCGAACAATTAGTTTTATGATTAAAAATAAATAATTTCGATATCGTTTCGTATATTTCGTATGGTTATATGAACTTAACAGAAGAGGAAAAAAGTTATTACGTATAAGATAGATAGATAGTTTAAATGCAAAAAGTTTGAGTAACAAATGAATTTGTTTGAATTGAAGTTGCGCGAGACGGTCTCTTGTGGAATCAAGTTTGATTGGAGAACAGTGAGCAAGAATTTAACGAAGTGCTATGAATTCTTAAAAACCATTCCTCCGACCGAGAAATTATTCGAAACTTTTCCTACGTACGTTCTACGTAAAGAGTAATGAAGAATTTTGAATAATCGAAAGGAACCGAGTTATTAACGAAAAAAGCATGAATTCTTAAGTATCATACTTCCGAGCGAAAAATTATTATTCGAAACTCTTCTCGACGTTCCCTTGCCACGTGATTATTTGAATAATGAGAGATTGATCGATCGTAATGAACGATTAAATTCTATTTTTTTTTTTCTCTTGGAAATAAGTAATAACGCAAAAACAAGAATAATTGATGGAAAATTAACGATATTTTGCATCAATTTTATAAAATTTTATAAAAATTAAAAAGTGAAATAAATATGATGATTATTTGAAATTTACCTTAAAATATTTCCACTTTCATTTCGCGTGTGTTTACGTATATGAAGAAAATGGGGATACGTGAGCGTTTTCACGAACTGATATGCATTGATATGATCATCACGAATACGAATATTTTTTTCTGGAAAAAACCTAATCCTGATTAGACTAAAATGAAAAAAATCTTAATATTTAAATAATATTTAATGAATATTAATTGATATTTAATCTACATATTTATTTTATTTATTTATTTTATTGTCGCATAAAATTTATTTTTAACAATATATTTTATCGGAAAAATGTATTGATCCGGATAATAAAATGCACTTGCACACTCTCAAACCGGGGTATTTATTCGGGGTAATTAATAAGCTTATTCGTGGAAATACATCTATTCAGGAAGCGTGTTAACAACGCGTTTACGTACGTGCATTTGTTACAGTGCACGATACTCGTTATATTATCATTAAAAAAACGTGGAAATTTTCAGAAGAATTTTCCACGATAATGAAGAAGATCGAAGTTTCTGTTGGCCAATTTTCAGCTGCACACAATACGAGTAAATTTACATAGTTTCAAGCAACGTCACGTCATCACTTTTTCATCTTTAAATAAAATTTTATCGAAACATTGGACGTTCCTCGGCGATAAACAAAACGGTAATTGTAAAATTTGATCGAAATTGATGAATTTTTTTTCTTTCTTTTTTCTTTTTCTTAAAGTCAAATCGTCATTTCGAGATTTGATTTCTCGGTACGAGTAACTCGATTTCGTAGAATGAGAAGTTCGAATTGTCGATCGAGAGGTATACGCTAGAAACGTCAGATATCTGTTGGTTTCAAGCGAATTATTGCCATTTGTCTCGAGTCGAGAAACCAAAACTCGATCGTAAATTAATTCGTAATATCGATTTGCAATCTAAAATAGCGAGAATTTCTGCCTCTTCCTCTGTACAAAACCACGATTGAAATATGTCTTTGTAGTCGTACAGAATGCATGCGGAATCGCGAAACTTTGGCAAGAGTTCCGTTTCTCTTCCCGAGAAAATGAATTAATGAAGCTACTGAAGTGGTATTTTGCAATTTTAATCAACATGGAGTAGAAGACATTCAGAGAAAAATATATAGCAAGATGTATCGCTTTTGCAATTTATATATATATTTTTCACAATAATTACAAGTAGGAAATCTTGGAAAGTGGATAAGATGGATTAAATATACGTACACGCAATCATACGTGTGTGATCTATAAGCAAATGGATACGACGATTCGAATCGAATGGATAATGAGAAATTGATCTCACGATTTCGAAGTGGAACATTAACGGTCGACAAATATTGATAATTTCATTTTCATCAGTTGAATAATAATAAAATAAAAGGTTATTTATGATTAAATAAATAACAAATGACTAAATAAATTTATAGGTTGAATTTTCTGTCTCTTGCATATTGCATTTAATAGTAGGCGGTGTTACATTGTAAATATTATTGCGAGGGAAGAAATTGAAATTGACGAATTTTGAAAAATATTGAATTCATACAGAAAAATAAAAAAAAAAAGAAAAAGAAAAGAATTACTTACGGGTCAAGAAGTTTTTTAAATTTCTTTTAAATTTTACACAAAGAGTAAAAAATTTATTCCTCTTCTTATTTCTTCATTGTACGATATAAAATTCAAAGAGGATAAAGTGTTCTTCTTAACGTTTTTTACACAATGCAGTAAAAATTAAGAAGAAATAATTATCTGTATCTCCTTTCGAAGAGAATCTTCTTCCACGAGGATAAAAATAAACAATACATTTTCAAAAGTGTTAAACTACTTTTTGGTTCGATCTTTGAGAAACTTTTTAATTCCAAAGTCGTTACTCGGGTGGATCAACTTGGGACAAATCTTTTTTGATAACTCAATTTTGATCATTTTTTTCCTTCCTTTCAATTATAATTCGAAGAAAAAAATCGCGATAGGATTTTTATTGAACCAATTCTTTTTTAAAAATTTTAACGTTTAATTTGGACGAAACTTCGATAAGACTTTTAAATAGAAGGAAATGAAGGCAGGACTCGATGATTTTCTTACTTGATTAATTAATAATAATTCATATCTTAGTATCTTAGTGTGTTAAACGTTTAATTGAAAATTGCAAATATTATTTATTTATCGTGAGAAATATAATTTATTTGCGTATAAATGAGAGGAGAGTACGTATGTATTATATTCGTAATATAATATATTTATATCGTAATAAAATATGTAATATATGTGTTCGATAAATATTTCATCCGCGATTATTTTGCATAAATCTGACAAAATTTTATTCATTTTGCTACTTTCATTCTACTACCTTTATTTTCATCTTGTTGCGATTTTATCGAAAAATGTTTTATGCTTTTATCTTGAATAATTTTATTTCCATATATATATATATATTTTTTTTACAAAACTTTATACGATTTACTTTTTATACGTTTTCTTGAAATAAAAGTTCTTTTTATACTTTTATCCGTTTACGATTGATCACGCAACGAAGCAATTTATTTCTTATTATCGATACATGTTTAAAAAAAAAAAAAAAGATTAGAAAGGCTGGTTTTTTTTCAATTAATTACCTTTATATTAAAATTCCTCGTTTTTCTTCTCGGTTATAAGCGTAATGAGATAGCCGTATTTCGATGTAAAAATTATTAGATTTTTTTTTTCTTTTTTAGATCAAATATTTCCAGAAATAATGAAGTTTTTATCTTACGTTAATATTATTAGGAAAATATGAAAAAATATTTCGTTGATTTATAACGAAATGGTATTATTGCGAAGTATTGGACAATTGTTATATCAATCAAGATTTTTTTAAATTCAAGCCATTTGATTACAATTAACGATCTTGAAAATCTCAAAATGATTTTTATTTCTTGAGAAAATTTAGTTTAAAATTTTGCTTGACAACTTATTAAAAAAAAAAAAAAAAAAGAAACGAAAATAAACAGTAATAGAAAATCAACATCCATTTCTTAAGAAATATTCCATTCTCAAGATTCCCTCAAGATTCATCTCGAATTGCATCGAGCTTTGCGCTGCGTTAGAATTATAATAAAATAACTTCTTTTAGAATTTTCCACGTTGGATGGAAAAATATCTTGCCACGAGTATTCGATGAAAATGTCGCAAAGCGACGCGACGTGTGACGAATTGTTTTCAACAAAAAAAGAAAAAAAATGATTTCGATATATTTCACGTAATAAAATCCCTTTTTTTTCGTTCCCTTCTTTATTCAAAAAATTTTTTCCAAACATTATCAAAAATTTCTCATACGAAAAATTCGTTGTTAGAAAAAAATTTTTGCATACAAACGATCAGATATACACTTATAATTTTATCATAGTTTGACAAATTCTCTCATATATATCCAATGATTGTACATGTATTTTGCACGATCGAAATGGGCCAAAGAACAAAGAGAAGACAAGACATATTTTGCAACCCAGTCGTATCTGTGCTTTGTATTTGTAACTAATTAAACAATTTTTTCTTGAGAACAAATTTGTATGAAACTTTTATTCACTTGTTTCTTAGAATAAATTACCACCTCGTTATGCTTCACAGTAAACAATTAAATGGAGAAAATGAATGGTAAAGGAGGTTGAAATATATTCGTATATAAGTGAAAATATTAATGAATTCGCACAGATAGTTTGCACGTTAAAATTCTTTTTTATTCTTCTTCTTCTTCTTCTTCTTCTTCTTTTTAAGAAGTATTTCATTAATCATTAATTGTTGTCGCGCATTATTTATTTATTTTTTTTTTTAATTCTACGAGAAAAATTCATGTCTCTGTGAATATGAATTACTAATAGATTTAGAATAACGATAATTTTGCTACGTTACGTGTCCAAGATCACCTCGTTTGCCACGATAACCTCAAAATTCAGCGATTTTTAATACGAATTTCGTGCCTCGTTCAATCCAAGGCGGACCCGATTCTCGACCATATCGATTACCGTCACATCAATTATAATGAAAGAAAATTGAATAAAAATTGCTCTTGGAAAATGTGTCGTCACCAAATATCTTTCAATTTCTCTGATTTCCGAGTTCTTCTAAGTGAAATACGTTTCGGAATATTATTATTATTCATAAATTATTCATCGTTCGCTCGACATTCCATCTTTATCCAATTATAACACTTAATTTCTCTCGTTAGTTACTTCAAATTTCAGGAATTCCACTCGAATCAAACACTATTTATGTTTGATATTAATATTTAATTTTCGATTTTCGTTTACAATTCGAAATTGTAAATTATATTTTAAAGGTGAACAATAGAAAAATTATATATATATATATATTATATTTTCCTATAAACCATTCATTTTACACAAACAAAATTGTTCCAATTTTATTCGTAAAATTAGTTTATTATATCGATGTTCCAAAACACCACGAACAATTTTAATACTACAATAATAATAAAGTCTTGGCTCAAATATTCTACAATTGAATGAATTATTAACAAAGTCACGTCCCGGAATTATGACAGTTTCTTCTCGAAATTCTGGAATTTCGAGGAATAGATAAGATAGAAATTCACAAATACATTGATCTTTGAAACGAACATACACGTGTGCTTCCTCGGTCAACTTTGAAATGATAAAAAATGGATGGAAAATTTGATTGAAAATCGCACGTGCGTGATACATGTTCAAGTGGAAATAACTTTAATCGCGACATTATTTTTTTTTTTTTTGAAATTGTAATAAAATCTCAACGAGTTCGAATTTCGAAATACCAGATTTCTAAAATTTTCTGATAAACGACGAATCGCATTTGGTAACCATATTTCTTCCCTTTCCCCCTATTTTAATTTTCTCTCCTCGTTTGAAAAAAAGAAGAAAAAAAAATTTGTTTGTCAATTTGATAAAAATCGAAACATTTAAGATGACACAAGTTGGTGACATATCGATAAAAATAATATCGTTAAAAATAAAAACTCGATAATGTGCCAGCAACACGAATTGAAACAATCGACAGAACCTAACCTAACCGGCGAATAATAAATCGATATGATCGTTAAATCACGAATAATCGTTGAAAATGTTGAAACATGTCGGATCGTAAATCAAATTTTTCTCCCTAATATGATATTCGATATGAAAAACAAATAAATTGTAATCCTTCTATGAATTTTCTTCAACGTTAATGCAATTTTCACCCCGCAATTACAATACAATTACTTTTTAATCAAACAAAAATTCTCTCTCGCGATATACAAGATCGTATACAAAAGATTTTTTCCTGAAAAAAAGCCATGTTTTCTTCTTTTTCTTTTTCAATGTCATTTAAAACCAAATGAACACGTACAAATGGGTAGAAAGATAATAATAAAGAAAATTCGTTCGCCAAATTCTCTTTCGTTTCAATCCATTGTAAATTCATCTCCTCGTCGATCATTGATCAATGCAATCGATACGGATCGATTGAAATAATAGAGAAATTCATTCGTTTAATGCATCCAAGCGGGGATAAGAGATAAGATAATTGATGGATAGGTATTAAGTCGTTTGCTTTTGCGACTTGCTAACGTGGCACACGAGTATCGCATACAATATCGTGATATATAAATATAAATTGAATATTTGTCAAGGAATTACGTAGCTCCATACGTCATAAATATGGGATAATACAGCGTGAATAAATATTTGCTTACCAACGTAACGGCCAGCTTACATCCATCGATGTAAAATAATCGTCGTTCAATCGTTGCTGAGACGAAGCATCGAGGAGGTATCGAGGTAGTTTTTTTATGATAATCCTGTTGCAGCGGATCAGCCCACCACCGATATTTATCCGTACGGAAATAAGTCGAAAATAACTGGATGATATCGTGCACATTTCACGGATACTTTGAAGATAAATTCACGATTCGAAGAATGTTTTCCCTCTCGCAAAAATTTTCAAACTTGCTGCTCTTCGCTCCACATTTAAACTCGGTCAGATCGAATAGTTTACGATAAACTTTCCCTTCCCGAATTCTCCTTCCTTTCTTAAACATTGCGTGAATATCTTTCGAATCTTTCGATCGGAGAACATTTTTAATCAATAATTTCTTTAACTCGGATCATCCACAAGTTTTCTTCGATTTTTTTTTAGGTGAAAAATTTTTCTTCCTCTCTTTCGTTGAAAATTCACCGATATATCGTATTCGGTGTATATTGCTCTTAACGCAGTTGTGAATATTTTAGTTACACCTATAAGAGCGATAAATCCTTGGTTTATTCGGATAGATGGATCCGTCCGGGACTCTGGGGGTTAAACAAGTTAACAACGGGTCTTGAACAAGTTAAGTGGGAGTATCAGAAGGACGAGAATTTCTGAGATCACGATTGATCGACATTTTATGGTAATTGCTCCTAAGTTTCGACGAATTCGACTCCGGCACGACTCTGAAGGATAGATTCTGTTCGTGATCGCGACGAATTTTCACTGGGTATAAATTCTGTTCTACATTCCGTATTGAATTGTACGGATGATAGTTCTGAACTATTGTATATATGTCAAAGGATTCCGGAAATAGTTATCGTTCGTTTACGTTACGAAACGAATCCGTTTGATCCGATGTCCCTCGATCTTCACGATGTAAATTTTGTAATGAGCAGGTTTTGTTCTCGTAACAAACGTTGATTAAATGTCCACTGCTTGTTTATTAGAAAAAAATTAATTTAAATATGCCTATAAAATATTGATCGTGAACAGTTCGAGATAATATATTTCACGTATCATTCGCGTATTATCCGTAGAATTTTTTAAATTAAACGTCGTTTAATCGTAACGAAAAATTGCCAGTGATAAAGATAAATGAAATAATCTATTAGATATTATTTTTAATAGGTTTCTCGTATTGCATCTTCTTAAAAGTTAACCGTAAATCTGTTGATAAATTTGCCATTTCTCGGACAATTCAATTTCAAATTCATCAGAATTTAACTGTTTCCACATATGAGCAATTAATTTTCTAAAGTAATTCTCAATTTCTGTCACAGAATATAATGGATTATCGCGTTATTGTAGACGACACACACACACACACACTCACACACAAAAGTTCCATCCTCTGAAACGGAAAATCTTGATCTTCGTGAAGGGAATATTCACTTTGAATAAGAAAACGAAATCGGTCGATTCGTCACGAAGAAGAGAAAAAGAGAAAGCGGGAAGAGATCGACGAGAAATTTATATTATTTCAACACTTTTAACAAATTTTTCCCCTTTTCACACCAGTCTTCTTCTCTCTTCCTTACACATTCGAAAGAAATAAATGGCCGATTTCGATCGATCCCTTGATGAACTCTCTCGAGAATCATGGAGAAGAAAGAGAGAAAGAAGGAGAAAGAAAAGGAAAAATTACGCTTCCATTCGCGAGAACATTATTTTATTTCATCTCGAGCGAAAGTTCAAATCGCGGCGAGTGGTTTCGAGTGGTGACGCTCGGCGATTAACGCGACGCAAGTGGTGCGAGTCGACGAGCGA